AAAAACTGTTATGCCTATGAGAGCTCATTTTTTTAATGAAACTTTGTTATGCTTATATTGAAAAGCATTTTTATAATTAGAGCACCGGTTTTTTTTTTGAGAGTGTTTCGAATAATTGAACTTGTCAGGCTTTTTCTCCTCTTGAAAGATAAGAGTTTCTAAAAAAGGACTCTCATAGATACTGCATTCTGGCATGCTCTTTTAAACAAAACAAAAAAAAGATTAAATATATAGACTAAAGACTACAGAAAATTTTTGGAAACGAAATGAGCTATTTTTTGATCCTTGTTTGGTGGATATCTCCTTCATGGGCCATAATACAGGGCTGAAAATTTTACCATAGCCACCCTACTACAGTCCCAACATATCCTGAAAATTTCATGTGATTTCAGTGAATCTGGCCTGAGATCGATTTTTGAAGGGGGGGGGGGAAGATCTTAAAGTCGAATACTACGCAATTGATTCTTTTGACAAAGATGCGTCCTTTGCATTAAAAAACTGCAAAATTACAACGTTTTCTGTCAGATATCGATTACATTTAAAATATTTATTTAGGTGCTAAAGATGAGCAAAAATAATAGTAGAGCAACGAAGAAAGGCAAGTGAAAACGAATACATCATAATCGATGTTTTTGTGAATAGTACTCGATATTAAAATATTCAACTTTCCATCAATCGAATATCGAGAAGAAAATCTCGAACCAATGTTTAATATAACTAAAATGCTATCTAATGTTTCTGTTAAATTGAGTAAAATTATAAGAGTGATACTTTTGTTCTACGCATAGTCTAGTTGTTTAGATACAAAGTCCAATTGAATTTCAAGCATTTACATTGGTTCGTGCTAAATATTTTATTCAGGACAGCAACAGGAGTTGACAATTGACAACAAAATATATATAATCGGCCAATACAATTCTAATATTAAGAAACATCAGATACCTTATGTCAGGATTCAAGTATATCATGGAATGATTCGTTCTAAAGCTGATTCTAGAAGTCTCTTTTCAACAACTCGAATCATCAAAGATGAAAACACTAATTAATTGTGAAAAAAAACCATACAAAAAAAGTATTGATTCTCGCGAACAACCTGTCGCAGTTTGCCCCATAAGCGATTCCAACAAAACTAATGACGAGTTCATAGAGAATCCGACTAGCTCTGTCAATACTATATATCACTCAACGAACTCGACTCATCTATTTATGAGGAAATTCATAATTAGTCTGTCGCTATTAGGAAGCATATAGAAAAAATTCTCCATTAGGTCATTTGTTTTAGTGAATAGAAGTAAAGGAATGAAAGATCGGTGTCTTTTTTTACCCCTGTTGATACATACACATATATACGAAAGGACCAAAGAAGACCTATTGCATGGTTTATTGTAGTCAACGAGCATAAGAGAATCACCACTTTGTCGTTGTACCGTTCGCATATAGTGTGTGAGCAGGAAAGGAAATAGAGTCCATTTGGCTTAGAACATAAATAAGAGAAAGAAATAGAGATAACTTCGTTGCTGACAACAGGAGCATGCTTGCAATCGTATATTTAAACACAAGAAAGAAAGAAATTGTATTGAGTCGTAGTTTTTTTTATCTATATATATATAAGTGAACGAAAGATGATGTTCATTCTTATCAAATAGGAACGCTCGATCAATCTGAATGTTCACATTAGTATTCAAAAATATCTATTTAAAATAATCTCATACAGAAAAGTAGATGATAAGAAAAGAAAAAGTATCTGAAAGTGTTGAGTTTGAAAAAAATTATAAATATTCAAAGCGTAATTAGAGATTTTCTCATTGATTGATTAGTATAGTCACGATAGTTACATATTGAATTGATAAACCCAGTCGAGTTCTGTCTAGGATTATGAAACATTTTCTTTTTGAAATCTTTTGCGTATAGCGAATCCCGAGGAGTTCTAATAAAATTAATAAAGAATAAGGAACTAACTACGTAGGTATGATCGATGAGTAAAATCGAGCAAGTGATATATGGAATCGATAGAGCTCATTGCATTCTTTCGGCAGGAATTGCAGCGATCTATGTGTTGAAATCAGAATAATCTCATAGAAAAAATTAGGATATTGTAAAATCTATTTTATTATTTCTGTACGAGATCAATTCTATATATAAGTGGATAGAGTAATGCATAATTCATGATATTTATTTCTCTAACAGTTACTCACGCCACACTTATTCTCCAATGACAGTTCTTAAAAACTTTATTGACAAAAAAAATAACATATAATATATTATATTTAACTGTAAACATTACCTTCATTCTTTTGCTTTGCGTTGAGATCTCTCCCCATTTGCGTTGCTTCGAATTAAATTTTTTAAAAATTGCTGTAAAATTCTGTTGAAATTGATCTATGTTGTTCAACTGATATTGTCTCTTTTGTCTATAAGACTTAAAAATAGTTTTAGTAAAGTAATGAGTACAACTTTCAAAATTGTCATATATCCAAGGAAGAAAAGCAAAACTTGACTAGTCCGAAATACGAATGAGTCACAAATGAAGTAAGCATGAAATACCTCCCCCTCGGGACTAAATTCTTTATTCCTCCTTTCTCCCGTATACTTTTCGTATCGAACTTTCTTAGTCGCAAGTAAATATTGATTACAAGAATAATTTAAATATTGCATTTTAGTGTAGTGTGTGATTGATTATGAACTGCTTCAATGAAGAATGCATGCCATTCAATAGATCGAAAACTATTGCAGATAAGTTGATTGATAGAATACGTCATGGCTGGTTCATCTTTCTTTTGATATTTTCTGAATGTTTTAGTAGTTTTACTTTATTAGTATTTGTATAATCGACTATATTGCCTTGTCGGAAGAGCTTCGAGTCGACGACGAAGAAAGTTTAATAATCCAAATCAGTAAATACAAAACAAGAGATAATTTAGTCGTGAAATATTCTGTCAATCAACTCATTTTTAGTATTGCTCAATTATATTGAAAGACGTATATTCTTCATTGAAGCAAACTGTCATCATTCATATACTATATTACAATCAAGTACTTAAGCCATCCTTGTCATCAACATTCACTTGACGCGAAAGAGGTTCTGTACGAAAAAAATGAAGCGAGAATGGAAGAATTTTGCTCAGGGGTATACGATACTTCATTGGTGCTATAACATATTTCACTTTTCTTCGGAATATTGAAGTTATGATTTTTTCCGCTTGTATATACCTATTTGGTCATTACATATACTGAAATTTTTTCGAGAAGTTTTTCATAATTATAGCTTACAATGGAAGGGTATGAACTGTTGAGCGAAAACATTAATCATATTTGGATCAAAAGAAAGCTTTTAATGAGAAACTAACGAATTTAAAATATGAATTGCGTATGGCGTACCTAGAGCAAGTTATTTAAATTTCAAGGTATGTGAAATTTAGGTATAAAAATGAATCAAAAAAGGTTTTCTTCCCTATTGCAAGGACAAAATATAGTGTTGTTCGGATCAATTAGAGGTTTGAAGGAGCTCTCTTTCATATCGTCCGAATAACATCATGTTTTGTCCTTATAATAGCAAAGTGAATTTTTTCTGTAGCTCATAGAAAATAGCGTCTTCTATCAGCCACCAAAAAAATTCACTACTATTATAAGTACAAAACATAGTGTTATTCGGGCGATATGAAAGAGGGCTCCTTCAAACCTCTAATCCGCCTGAACATCACTATATTTTGTCCTTACAATAGGGAAGAAAACGTTTTTTGATTCATTTTTAGACCTAAATTTCACATACCTTGAAATTTAAATAACTTGCTTTAGGTACACCATACGCAGTTCATATTTTAAATTCGTTAGTTTCTCATTAAAAGCTTTCTTTTGATCCAAATATGATCAATCTTTTCGCTTAGCTGTTCACACCCTTCCATTGTAAGTGTTATAATTGAAGACAATAAAAGAACTGACATTTTTTTTCTCGATTAATATCATTCAGAAATATTCGAAACAAATTCAATTAACATTTCTTCATATGAACATTAGTTTTAACAATCTTTCCAAGCTTTTTAAAGAATTTTTATTTATTTATGTTTCCATTCTCAAATGTTATCTATTTCTATCTTCACTCAAAAACGATTCTGTTAATTCCAAGATTTTTATGTTGTGATTGTTAATTGAAACATTGTCGTTTTTGTTTTGCCCGATCACTAGTACACTTTTATTGCAAGACTGTTACATTATCATGCAAGTTTTTTTGTAAGTTTCAACTATAATAATTATAATCGTCATTTTTCTTCTCAAGATACGTTAAAATGATATTAGAATACATAAATACACAGTATTCTTTATGGTTTATTAAACCATGATGAAACTATAAAAAATAAATGAATTTTTTGATAAGTGTTACAAAAAAAAATTAGGTTAAGTTTTTTTATTTGCAAACTACTGTATATATGCATAATTCATTATGAAATGGTTTATTACAAAAAAAAGAAAGAGTAATTATTAAATGAATCTCAACAGAAAAATCTCATTTGGTCTGAAAAGAATACATAAGACATAAATAAGTAACACTCAAAAATCTATAGATTTGAAGTATAATAGACATGTGTTCATGAGATTCTAATAAACTTTTGAATGATCTACTCGTTTTTGCTGGCAATTCGTATCAACAAACCATCAAGGAGAATATATAGAAAAAATCATTAAATTATTCAACCAGTATGCATTTTAAAAAACGTATCACTGAAAAAACTCCATTTTTGTTTTCTCTTCGAAACTAAGATTTATGCGTTAAAGGGAAATAAAAAAGACGTCATCTTAAAAATTAAATTTTCTTGCTTATATCTTAATAATCTATTTATTATGTGTATCATTTCACGTTCGTTTTCGTTCTTTTTTTTTTCAAACAAAGATGTTCATAAGTTAAATTGATTTAAAATAAATTTAAGAGCACTTTTTATGTAATTATTAGACAATTTTCCATTTTCTTTCCAATATGATAAACATGAATGACCAAGAAAACGATGTTAACATGTAATATCATCATTTGCAGGTATTTGAATTTGAATTGATTCAACTATTTGACATTGAATATAAATAATATTCCAAAAGTCAACTTCAACATGAATATAATTGAATGATTTTAATAAGTTTGAAAGTGGTGATAAACTATATCCATTAAATGGACTAATATTAGATCATCATAATGGATTCCAATAATTCTTTCTCGTTGAATTATAAATTAACATGAAACTAATAATTGGTGGAAAAATAGGATTGAATTCAATATGAATTAGTTGAGATTGATAATTAGTATGAATGATACTTTCAAGTACTCAGCATTCATATGAATCAATATCAAGTTTAAGAATAGTAAAAATTTTTTGTAATGTTATATTTTTCAAAGATATTTTCTAGAATAGATTCAGACCAAATAAAATCATGTATAATATGAACATTATGACGATTAGGATAGGTATTAAAAAAAGATGGATTTATATTTGAATCAATGAGAAGTGCATTAAATAATGAATTGATAACAGTAAGAAGTGGATAAGGTGGATTATATTGACCACCTTCTGTAGATGCAGCACCAATATTAACGAGTAAAATAAGTTTTGGACAAATATGAGCAACAATATCAGTCAATTACCATGTATTTGTTTAGCTTTTATTATTAGAACAAGGACTACAAAAACCATGATCTTGATTAATATATGTGGGTTGTTTAACTCTCTGTTCTGCTGTGTATCATACTTGAAGAGATATCGATATGAATGTAACTGATCGTTGTTGAATAAGAAAATATATAGAAAAAATAAAAGGTAACTACTCCAATAACATATCTACTGTCAATAATTTTTTGATGACTACTTATCGTTGATAGTTTGTCGAGCAAGTACATGATAGAAATGAATGAATATAATATTAGTTTGATTGTCTATAATTTTTAGATATAAGTATACATTAAGAGAATAAAAATCGTATTCTTTTAATTCATGATTTATGATTCGAAGGTATTTTCGAGATATATAATATTATTTTTATTTTTGTTTTAGAAAATATTTATGAAAAATAAAATAGTTAATTTAATATAGTATAAATATTTTTTCTATATTTTATTTTTGAAAGAATCTTTTTAAATGAGAATTTTAATTTTATATTCATGAGATTTTCATATTAAATGGGTCATACAAAAATTTAGCAATAAACTTATAGAGTAGTTCGACGGATAGTCAATATTAATATTTTCCGAAATTATTTTTTTTTTTTGAGTTGCAGATATTTTATTTTCTAGAAACGTTAGTAGATGTAAATGGTATTGTCGTTCTAATTACAACACATGATGAAGTACTGTTCAATGTCATCGAATTATTACTAACGGTAGCTAGTGTTGATGATAATAGACCAAAAATAGTTGGTTTTATTGTTGTACTCGTTGCAAATGAAAAGTCAGATGCAGATGACCGATGTGCTGAAGCTGATGAGTCAGATACAGCAAACGGATCAACGCTGCTAAAAACTGATATAAATGTTAAAGCACGAAAAAGTAGGCGAGGTGAATGTTGAAATTTCAAATGAGAAAAAAAACGATTCAGAAGAAGTATGTGCTAATGAAATGTAGGTATACATCAGTATCACTGTTATACTAATTTATCGGTATTGATGCTAGTTATTATTTACATAGCAGTTTTCTTGGCAATCAGATTTGTCGCAGGCTTTTATAAAAAATCAAGTTTTTCAGCACTAGAATGCAGTATAATATTTTAGTTATTTCTCTCGCTGCTAATATCAATCAGGTTTATCCAGTCTCATTCATGATTTTTACTTGAGAAACAAACGTCAATTTTATTGTTGATTATGTCTTAGAATAAGAAATCGTACACGATTAAACAACCATGTGTGAGAAATCATATAAAAGGTCGTTATTTGATCAATATAATTTCTCCGATGGATGTTTATTTGTGTGCGATTTCTTATTCCCAGACTTAAACAGCAATAAAATATATGTTTATCTGTTAAGTAAAAATGATGAAAGTTGATTGGATAAACTCAATTAATATTAGTAGCAAGAGAAGTAGCTAAAATGTTACATTTAGAAGTGCAAATCAATGCATTGATCAGCTTCAGTGGCTGATTTTATTTTAATTTTTTGCATCTTTCAACAATAGATCGTGCAACGCATCAATCGATTTACAGACTACAGCATTCGCTGTCGTTTTCGTATCCATGATCTATACAAATTTTCTCCAACTTATCGATTCATTATTATTACTTCAATCATTGTAATGTTAACCACTATTATTGAAAAAAGTATCCGCGCATAAAATCTAAAATCTACATCCTCGCTTCATTTGTTGCTGCTCTTTTAAACGATTTGTCTGAAAGTTTTGCATGCACTACATCTGAGTACCATTAGTATCTGTTGTCACTAGAGCATTAAATACAACCTATCCTAATATTATCATATTCATTTACAAGGATAATCAATAGCCTGCGGATCAATTTATTCGATTGTATTTTTTTTCAACTATGTCTCGAAGGACTATCCATACACCCCATTTGATATTTCTATGAATGTCCTCAAGTGCAGTTATCAGCTCATTAATGACTCCATTCATTTTTACTGTTTTTTATCCAATCTTCAGACCATTTTGCATGTGCGTTATCTGAGATCCTAGTTGTAATTCCCGAGTGCAGTTAGTAACGAAATAATTAGATCATGGGTTGCTACATTTTCATTCATTTTATCGTGAGTGTCGCACGCAACGTCTCTGACAATTAAATTCTTATCCTTGCGTGCAATCACAAGCTCACTGATCATTTCGTTCATTACTGCATTTTATTCGATTTCACTGTAGCTTTTGCATGCTCTCTGTCTACTCTTCAAATTCTTGTTTCTGAGCATACAATCACTAGTTTACAAGCTAGCTCCTTCTCCTCTCAGACTCCCAAGAGCATCATATGCATTCTCGCTTTGATTGTCAAACTTTCATTGTCAAGTACAGTCAATAATCTACTGATGACTTCATCACTTGCTATTATTTCATCCATTCTATTGAGAGCTATAGATGCACTATTGTGTGCGCGAGTGAAGAGAAGAATCACACCGATACTTGCATCCTATTCATACCAAGAAAACAAGTGATTTCTCTACAGAGTTCATAGGCTCAGGTGTATTATGTGATAATACACGTCTTCTATTAAATGTAAGAAAGAATTTACTCAACCGAAGTGAACGAGCAAATGTCCATTTTCAGATAATATCAATTATTATTTTCATTATATTTTTTGATGTATGAATACACTATCTGTATATGAACTACATACAGAAACTTCTTCTTGATTATAATAAGTTTTAAAGACAAAATATTTAACTCATGAATAGTTTCAAGTCTAAATAAAACGAAAAATTCAATTATGAAAATAAGCTTGATAATAAAACATCAGTTCAAGAGAAATCGGTTTCTTTTTTTTTTTTCTTCATTCTCAACAAATATACTTTTAATTCTTTCTTGATCTGATCCGTATGGGACAAGATGTTTGTGCGAATTGCATTAAATTCATATGTATTGAAGAAGTAAAACAGAATATAAACAACAACTTGACAAGAACTCAATGTATATTTGACATTCAATATGATTATTTGTTTTGACTATTTTAAAAACAAAATATATCATTTAATAAATGACAAAATCTAATGAGAAAATGATTATGATATTTAACTAGAAGAAAGAATCGTATCTATGCCATTCATCAATTTAAACAAGCACAAATTCATTGAAAGAAAAGTTTATTTATGAATATTTTCAGTTTTATTTTCGAATATTTGTGTACAAATTTTATCTTTTCGAAATAACTAAAAACTCTGTGTTTTTTTTTAAATAGATAAATATAATATATACATATATATATGTATGTGTTTCATCATTAACATTCTTTCACATATACAACTCATACATGTCTATCTGACTCTTCTGATGAAAAAAGCCTACACAACTTGTATTAATCCACGTATAACAAAAGAAAGAGAACTCAATAGCAAACACAAACCTTAACAAAAAAAAAAAAAAAAAGGGAAAACAACTAAATTATTCCAATGACACATGATAAGATAAGGATATATTGAAATTTGGTTTTTTTAAAAAAAATAGTTTATATTCATAACATATATATATATATATATATATATATATGTTTATTTGGCAATAATTGAGAGAGAATGAGCATCGATACGAGCTTGTTCTTCACGTAATTGATTTAATGTTTGATCAATTATAATAGTTTCTTTTTTTATACTTTTACTTTTTTGATTATTTTGATTTTCTTTTGTTTGATATGTTGATGTTCCATTTAATCGTTGTCGGCTACGATCTATCATATGAAAAAAAATAAAAATAAACTTCTTGAAATTAATTTCAAAACAAAAATCAACTGACTTTGACTAGTTTTTGATAAAGATAAAATGAAATTTTGCTTGTTCTCAAATACGTCATCATCAAACATTGAATCATTATCCATCAATGATTCTATTTATTCAGAAAACAAAAAAAAAAACAATCTTCAATTTTATAAATTATTTATTATTTCATACCAGATAATATTGATTTCGAATATGAAGATTGAGATTTGTCATGTTTTAATTCTTCAATATCAAAATATAAATCAATGGCGGAATCATCTTTTATACGTTTTTTTTCATTTGTCGAATCCTTAAAAGCTCGTTTAATACTTGATGACATCTGGAATAAAAAAAAGGAAAAAAGAAAAAGGAACTACACATAAATAAATCCCGATGCTTATTTCTATATCATAACCATCACATATATACGTAAAATACGACAGGAACCGACTAGTTTCAAGAAAATAAAGAGGCATTATATTAACACGTAGACAAATGAATGACAAAGAAAAAAAAGAGAGATTCATTAGTGATGAATGACGAAACAAGAAAAAAAAATAATGACTAATTTTCCAATTTCTTTCAGTAATTCACACGGGTATATCTTTTTTTTTTTAATGCGTAGTTTTTTTTTTCTTTTTGTTGTTCTATAATATATCTGACACTACGCAGAAAAAAAAACCATAATAAAAATATTCGAATTATTATCAGCTAAAGCTGATGAAACATTTAAAACGTTATTTTTTTTTTTTTGGAAGTATTACTGTTAATGATGATTCTAAAGAAAAAGCAAGCAAAAATGTTTTTTTTTTCTTTTGAAATAGAAATATTTTACCAATGAAGAATTATTCAATGAAACCATTTTCTTTCGCATATTTTTCCCATCTATCATCATCTTCAGGAATTGTTAACCAACGGTCACAAGCACATGAATCTTCAAGTTTACGTAAATCACAATACAATTGATAATCCTATATTAAAATGTTATATAATATTTTCATTATCCGAAACAATAATTAATAAATCAATAAAAAAAAAAAGAAATCATGCACACACCTCAAAGAAAGCATGTCTGAGAGCAGTAGCAGCAGCAAATCGATGTCCAGTATTGACTTGAAGCAAATGATGAGAAATAAGATCGATAGCTAAAATAACCGTGCATTATCATGCAATCAATTTTAAAATAGAAAAAAAATTTCTACATGCGCATCAGAAAAATCATTACTCATGCAATTTAATTTTTAAAAGAAATAAATGAAAAACTATGATCAATATTCAACCTGAAGCCATGGTTGTAAA